ATATGTTTGGAGATTATTGGTCATTTGAGACTTAAAATACAAGTGGTCATATTTCACGGTTGTAAATGTATTTTTTTTAACATGTGTAACTTACGATTTAATCTAGTGTTTGATTGTTCAAAATAGTACTCGAGTGCAAAATAGTGGGCGTTAGCTCTTATTAGACCAAATAGTAGTTCTGGTCCTAATTAATATTTCAAAAATATTTTTTTGTTTGATTAAAAGTGTTTTTTAATGATTAATATTTACTTAAAATTATTGAGTTGAGAAATTAAGTTAAAAACACAATTTTGGTTCTAGTTAAAAATTTCTATTTCAATCCCTCGAATTTTAATAGAATAAGTATGAAATTTAGAGACCAAAGACAAAGATTTAGAAAAAATGTCATAGATATGTCTAATTGAAAATGAAGTTTGTATATATATAATATGAATACATCCCAATATTATTTTAGAGTGGTATTATATTAGTAACTATAATGATGAACTAAAAGAATGACGAAAAATACTAAAACATGGAGATTTTACATGAAAATAATCTTTTGGAAAAAGGAAAAAAAAACCTATGGAAAAAAAACTAAATTTGGTAAGAAAAGCTTTCCCCGATGAAACATCCCAAGAAAAAGTAATTACATCTGGAAAAGGGAAAAAAGAGCCCTAAACCACTAATTAAGTCACTAATTACGAACATTGTTTATGAAAGAAATGTCCTAACTTCACTAAGTGAGGCTAAAGAAGAGACTAAGTTAAATCACTCGGGTCAAGTCGACTAGGCCAAATCATCCAACCGGACCAAATTTAACCCAATCCATAATTCATTTGGGCCATCTCGAGAAGACTTCTCTATAATTAAATTAGAGGGAAAGATTTTGGACTTGAGGCATGTTTTACCGACAATTTTTTTTTTTTTGAGATAATATCTTGGGAGAGCTATTTTAAAATCTTAATTACATGAATGTCTTTAAGTTTCAAAATTTACACTTTTAGATATTTACCGTTAGGATTTTATTTTAATACCGTTTCTACCATTATTTATTGTTTTTTATTTTATTATAATTTTTGAATTTTAAAGATTTGAATCCTTAATTTGTAATTATATTCATTTAATTCTTGTGGGCCCCATTCAAAATTTCAAAATTCCTCAAATCTCCCTTTCAAAAAAGATTTTTTTTCCCATTAATTAACAACTTCCAATTTTGTTAAATGAATTAAATGCTGCCGATTCTCTTTCCTCGATTTTCTCCAGCCACCGTGCAAAGCTGATTTTCTTCACCGCTGTATTCATTTCCAAGGTGCAAAGACGTCGGCTGCCAGACCTTCATTTTCCATCTTCAGGGGTTTTATGAACAAGGTATTTATTTCTTTTGCACATTTCCAACGCCGTTCATTCCCGTTCATTCCCGTCGCCGTTCATTCCCGTCGACATCTTTGCAGGTTTCCAATGCCGTTCATTGTACACCAAATCAACGAGGTATTGATTTCTTCTCCCCCCAGACACGTCCAAACCTTCAATTCTCGTCGCTGAATAAACTTTCTGTCGATGTCTTTGGACGTTTCCGACGTCGTGCAGCGTGTTCCTCGTCTCCTGTCCCCTTCTGTGTATACCATGGGTAATTAATAGTCTTCCGTTAAGATTGGTATATATGAGGATATATTTTATGTATGTGTACAGAAAATGGAAGTTCTAAACGTCTCACAGTGTTAGTATTCCTGATTATATTCGTATATATAGGTATATATTGTATATGTGAATACATCTTATATGTGTATACATATATCTTATAGTTATGTAGAAATGATCCTCCATACCATATGTAATTATTAGTCTTCCGTTAAGATTGGTATATATGGGGATATATTTTGTTTATGTGTATGGAAAATTGAAGTTCTAAATGTTTCATATTCTTAGTATTCCCGATTATATTCGTATATATAGGTATATATTGTATATGTGTATATATCTTATAGTTGTATACAAGATATAAACGCATATATCCTATAGTAATGTAGAAAGGGTGCTCCAAAACTGAAGTTTTAAACGTTTGATGGATGAAGCGAAAAAAGTTCTTAGATTTCGAATTTGGGAGATTTTTGGACGGGATTTGGAGATATTTTGGGAGGTTATGATTTCAATTTTGGGGAATTTAGGGTTTTGTTTTTAATTTTTTGGTGTTTTAATTTGTTTTGGGAAGTATCGTTAACCTAAAATTATGGGATCTAAATTATAACCTTCCAATTAATCAATTTTGTATATTAAAATGAATTTAAAATGAATTTGTAAATACAAAGAGGCTATTTAAGTAATTTATATGATGGGTACCCTCTTAAATATAGGTTGATACATGACAAATGTGTAAATTCTATACATTCCCTCCTTTTATGTAATTAGGATATTTAAATAGTCCATCAATGTACTAATCCCATTTTTTTTTCTTTTTACTATCAACAAAATTTTAATTTTTTGTCTAACTCAAACATCAGAGCGTGCTCCGGTATGTATAAATATTTGTTGGAATATTTTACACTGGAATTTAGATCTAAATTTCGCATTAACAAACATGATAATTTTTGTCACTTTGAATCTTGCAGTAGATTTCTCTTACTCGATCCAAAGATCATATTTTATATAATCTATTATATATATAATTTGAAATAAAATTTGTTATATCTCCCAAATATCAATTATACTTATATATATCTACCCTTAAAAAGAAACTTTATTAATAGATGCTAATTTTGTAATAAAATAGAAGAAAATAAATGAAGGAATACTCAATATGACTAAGTATAAAATTTTTGGGGTGGTTGAATTATATATTTTATTATAGTTTTCAATTTAATCCTTCTCACTAATTATCCAGTCAAATACTAACAAGAAAAATTGAATTCGCATGGATGAATGTAAAAAGAAAAAAAAATTGACGTTGCTACAAACAAAATTATTATTATTATTATTTTTTTTGAGAAAGACAAACAAAATTATTTTTAATCAAAGTATCTGAACTTTATAATATCATTCAGTCTTTCTACTATTTTTTAGCAATTTAGCTTTTATATATACTTCAAAATTTTAAATTCTCATAGGTCAAAAATTACGTTGGTAATAAAAACATACAAATAAATAAATACTCGAAGCACCTTTTGAACGATAAGATGTTCATATTTTGTTTTTACGAGCCAAAATATATTTAATCCAGTATAACTTCGCTTGTCTTTATAATAGTCGAGTGGTCACTAACAGACATCAATTTGTCCCTTTCCAAAATATTGGATGAGAAGTTGGGAAGTATCAAATCCAAACTATATACTAAAAATTAAAATGTGCATTTTCTAAATAAAAACATATGAGAGAGAGAGAGAGGAAGAAGAAGAAGAGAACAAACATTTCACATCCTTTATATTAATTAAAAATACAATATTTACTTTCTTAAAAATTCAATAATTCACAAAATGAGTGAAAGAATAAGCAGAAACCAGCTGAGCTTCCATTCCTAATAACTAAACCTAATAAAGCTTCAAGCTTAGTTTCTCAAAACCCCTCACCTTTTTTTTACTTACATAATCACCCCAACAAAGTTCTTAATTATACTTTATACCCCAACTTTTACCAGCTGTAAAAACAAAAGAACAGAGAGCAAAGGAGATTCCGGGGACGTAAAAACCCTGCCATCCCACAGGTAAAAATCTCCTTTCTTTTAACTTTTATTATTATTTACCTCTTCTTTTTACCAGGTCTGCTTCTGCAAACCTTTGGAGCCTATGAAAGTGCCATGGAAGCCATAAGGAACTCGAGACGGAAGCTTTACAGAAGCTTCGAGCTTCAAAGTTATGGCGTTCACGATTTGGAGCTCCGATTTCCATTCCTTCTCGTCGTGAACGAAGGCCAAGATGTGGCCGTCGTCTTCCGCCTCCGCCCCTTCTCTCGGAAGAAACAGAGGTTCGCCGCCGTACCTCTGTTCGCCGTAGATGTACTTTCTGATTTCTCCGGTGGACAGATCCACCTTCGCGAATCCAGAAACCTTCGGCCATGGCTCCGCCAGAGCAAGATACGCGAACTGGGTTTTT